GGTTTAGGGTTTAGGGTTTCAACACCCCCTTGACAAACTCCCTCTTAGTACGGGGCGGTGGAAGAAATCCCGTACTGTTGATGGACAAAATCCTGCATGACCCAAAAATAGTATAGTACCATAAATCCCATAGTTTAGGTATATAAGGTCATGCAGGATTTTGTCCATCAGCAGTGTGATAGTCCCTCTTTGTAGTCCCTACTACTCATTCCCGCAACTCCCTACTCCGAGCCAGGCCCGGGAGATTAACGCAAGACCGAAACCCTACCTCATTCGCGTGTGCATATATATATATATATAACCTACCTTTGTGTAGAGATCCTGGTTACGCTTTTCTTGTTCCCTAAACCCTAAACCCTAAAGATCTGTAGAGCTCCTGGTTATGATCTCCTTATACAAGTCCACCAAGAACCCTAAACCCTAAACCCTAAACCCTAACCACGAACCCTGGATCTGAGCTTTTCAAGGCATCGCCGTCGATGCCGTCAGCGTCACGCACTTTGCGCGCTCGGCGGTGGACGCGCGGCTGGCGGAGTTCCGCAAGAAGATGAAGGAGACCTCTTTGATGTCTAGGGCCCCGCCCCAAACCCTAAACCCCAAAATCCTATAAACCCTAAACCCTAAACCCTAAACCCAAACCCTAAACCCCAAATCCTATAAACCCTAAACCCTAAACCCTAGACCCCAAATCCTGTAAACCCTAAACCCTAAAACCTAAGCCCCAAATCCTATAAACCCTAAACCCTAAACCCCCAAGTAGCTGAAGGACAGAAGCTTCAGACGACCTCGACGGCTAGATTTACGGTCCATTCCTTGATAAAAGGCTTAAGGGCCCATTGAGATGCCTTAGGTTATCCGGTTTAGGGTTTAGGGTTCAGGGTTGGGTTAGGGTTTAGGTATCGTCAGATATGTCTAGTACCGAAGTTCGAAAACCTAAGGCACTTGAGTCCCTAGAGTATCAATGCTTGTGCTTAAGACCTCGTTGGGCTTAGGTTTTAGGGTTTACGTTGGGCAAACCCTACATACCGAGAGACGAAGGAAGTACCACATGCCACATGGGGGGAGTCTCCGACAATGAGAGACCCAGTATAAACCCCAAATAGTAGGATCCATATAAACATTACCGATCCCCTAATCATGGATTTTTTTTACCGAACTTCCATCTAGTCATGGAGCAAGTTAGGTACATGCATGGGAGCCTGCGCAGACGACGGACTCCCAGATAGGTCTTAGGCGATTTGGTGTTGTTTAGTGATTGGGGTCTGGGTTTAGGGTGTAAGGTTTGAGCGATTAGGGTTTGGGGTTTAAGGTTTGAGCGATTAGGGCGTAGGGTTTAGGGTCTGAGCGATTCTGTTGGGCTTCGAGTTTGGGCGATTAGGGGTTAGGGTTCAGGGTTCGAGCGATTATGGTTTTGGGTTTAGGGTTGAGGCGATTCGGGGTTGCATATGGGTAGTTCTCTAAGCCAGGGTCCCTTTTTAGGTCCCCAACATAGTACGGCACCCTTATAACAGGGACCCTCAAAGGGACCCTAATTTTGAAAACTACCCATACGCAACCCTAAACCCTAAACCCTAAACCCTAAACCATGCAGGGCTCCTGGGCCCTGGAAGGATAGTAATAGCACTGTGAGAGCCGTATCAAAACTGACATATTCGACGCCTGGATGATGACCAAGATAACTCCTCAGGGTTCCTTACTAGGTATAGAATACCGTATAGTTATACTAGAACATGCCCCAAAGCAAATACCAAACCCTAAACGCTATATTACGTTGAAATCTCAGAAGGAGGCTTTTAGGTTTCAGCGGAAAGTTTAGGATTTAGGGTTTACGGTTTACCTTAAGAACCCAAAGCCCACTTTTTTGTAGGTTCTTATTATAAACCCTAATATGGGATTTATAGGGACCCTACAACACTAAACCCTAAACCCTACAACCCTAAACCCTAAACCCTAAGCCCTAAACCCTAAACCCTAAACCCTAAAGCCTGAACCCTTTGGGTTCTGAAGGTAGGGTTTAGGGGCCGGTCGATCAGGACCTCGCGGATTCCACCGGCTTCGAAGTCGACTCTGGCGTGCAGCTACCAGGCCAAGTAGCTGGGGTTTAGGGTTTAGGG